AGGATTGAATCCAAGGCCTTCACTCTGAGTTCTATGCTCAGCCCATTTTTAGTTTGTTACTGTGACACAGGGTCTCACCAGTTCCAAGTTGCCCAGGCTGGCTGGGATTTGCAGTGCTCCCCCCTCAGCCTCCCAGAGTATTGGGATTAGAGGTCACTATGCCTGGCCCCTGGGCCTTTCTGGGGCTTTTATATTTGTTTAAACAAATATCGTACAACATTTCCTGAAGAATGAATTGGTGTGTGACCCCAGTACAGGTGGGGTCAGGTCCAGACCTGTCATTCTAGCACCACTTTCCTGAGCCACATGGAGGATCTTTGCTCCTGCCCGTTCTGAACTACTGTAAAATCCAAGCTTATTTTTGCAGATGGTGGCCTGTAAGGACTCACCCTAGTTTCTCTTCACCATGTGAAAAGTCAGTTGTCTGAACATCATTTTAAAATATGCCATCTTTTGTCACAGGCTGTCAGTCACAACTGCGTGTCTGAATGCTTCTAGATCTGTTTCTAGGCATTCTGTTTGGTCAGCTTTTAGACCAGTATCACATTTTTTTTTTTTACTATGATAGATTTAATTACAATCTTTCTGTAAGACAAATCCCTTGCTTTTTTGTTCTTTAGAATCTAGACTTTTGTTCTTTTCTTTTCCTTATGAATTAGAGAATCACCTCAGCCTACAACAGGAACTGGGTTGGAATGGGGAAGAGTTGGCATCTTTCTGATACTGAGTCTTTTCACCACATAGTTCTATTACCATAAGATGTTAACATCTTTATGTCCTTCAATCCAAATTGTAGCATTTTCTCCACAAAGATTCTGCACATTTTTTCTATATCTATTCCTAGATTGTGGCCAGTACAAAAGTAATCTTTTAAGAAGTTATTTTCTCACAGATTGTTGCTGATATAGAGTAATAGTATTAATATGTGCTTATTAATCTTATACCCAAGAATTCTGATGAATAGTTGGTCTAAAGAGTTTATAGATTATCTTCTATTTTCTATGCAAAATGTATGTAAACAAGCATAATTTTTCCCTGATTATTGTACCTCTTACCTCACCCCTAGTCTCATTTTCAATCTCTATCACATTGCTTAGGTATCCAATACAGAATCATGAAGAGGTGGGTCTGCCATCTGGCTACTGACTTTAAAGAAATTAACCTATATTTTTATAGTTTCACCAATTAAGAATAATATTTGCCATAAATTTTTCAGATACCCTTTAAAAGGTTATGAAAGGATTTCTCTCCATTAGGCAATGTTAATTTCTCTCAAATGCTTGCCCTGAATCTGTTTTGATTGTGTGAATTTACTCTTTCACCCCATTCACCTATTGTAATTTAATAGATTAACAGATTTTCTCATGTTCATCATGTGATGTTGGATATGTTTAACTAATATTTTGTTTAGGGTGTTTCATGCATGTCATGAGGTAGAGCTTCCTTTCTTTTTCCTCTCTTGGATTGTTGTTTAGTGTTACATTTATACCAGCCTCATCAAATGAGCTCAGTGTATTTCAACTTCTCATCTTTTCTAGAATTCATGAAAATTAAGCCTGTCTGTGTCTTAAAAAGTTTGTAGGACTTCCTCAAAAGCTGTTTTGAACTCTGTGTGTGTGTGTGTGTGTGTGTGTGTGTGTGTGTGTGTGTGTCTGTCTGTCTGTCTGTCTGTCTGTCTGCATATGTGTATATATTATTCACTGTTCAATTCCTTTAGCTATTTTTCTCTTTACTTTTCTTTTCACTTTTCCTCCCCTCTCCCTTCCTTCCTCCTCTCTTTTCTTCTCCCCTCTCTTTTGGGGAGAGAAAGAGAGAGAGAGAGAGAGAGAGAGAGAGAGAGAGAGAGAGAGACAGAGACAGAGAGAGACAGAGACAGAGACAGAGACACAGAGAGACAGTGAGTCAGTATATTGCCCAAGCTGACCTTGAACTCCTGAGTACCCAGACAGTCCTTCTGTCTCAGCCTTCTGCTGAGGTAGGTAGACCACAGGCCTGTGCCACCATGCCTGACTGATTCAATTTCTTTCATGGTTATATAGCTAGTCATATCTCTTATTTCTATTTAGTTCCATTTCAAAAAGTTGTATTTTTATAGGAATTGGTCCATTTTTCTAAATTTTTAAATAATACTAAATTGCTTCAAATGTTCTTTTGCATATTATTCCTTTAATCTTGGTTACATCTCTAATTAGGTTCCCTATTATTTATTTAACAAATATTTGTATAGCACTTAGTAGATGCTGGACAATATTCAAAGTACTTTCTAAATACTGATCGCTTTAGTCCTTACAACTTTTGATGAGAGGTGCCATTACCATTGTGTTCATTTCGCATGTGAGGAATCTGAGCCAGGAGGAGTGCAGGAGTTTTCCTTGGACCAGCACACGAAGTTTAGGGCTGCTGCTGTTCAGGCTCGTTGTTCTGATTCTGGAATACTCTGAATCATTATGCTAACTACCTTTCATTGTTATCATTGATTTTCATTCCCAATTTAATTTAATTATTTATTTTTTGTCTTTGTGACACAGGATTTTACTAGGCAGTTGAGGCTGGCCTTGCACTAACTTTGTAGCCCAGGCCGACCTCAAACTCATAGCAATCCTCCTGCCTCAGCCTCCCAAGTGCTAGGATCACAGGCGTGTGCCATCAGGACTGGCTCCCAATTTTGGTTATTTATGTTTCTTTTTTCTTCTAAATGAGTCTTGCCAAAGGTTTGCCATTTTTATTAGTTTTTGAGAAGAGCTAACATTGTTTGAGCCACTTCATTGTATGTTTTCTGTCTTACTCCTTTTGCTCTTATTAATCCTTTTTTGTACTTCTTACATTATACATTTTCTTCTTTCTGTTTTATGTTTTTCTTTTGTTCTCATTAGAAATTCAAATTTTTTTCTTTATGGTCTTCTTAAGTATTTACCTCTAAATACTGCTTTAGCTGCATCTAATACATTTTAATTTATAGTACTTGTTAGTCAGATATAAGAATTTTTAGATTTTATTTATTTCATCAATAAATGGCTTTAAATTTCTAACTGTATGTTTTAAAATAAACTTTTAAAATTGATTCTAATTAAAATGCACTTTTTTGTTTTGAGAGGAGATCATGCTGTGTTGTGTAGGCTGATCTCAGACTTCTGGGCTCAAGTATCCTCCTACCTCAGCCTCCCAATTGCTGGGACTACAGGTGGACACCACTATGCCCTGTTACCTTTTCATCAGAGGATATGGCCTATAAGATAGCTATTTTCTAAAAATTTATTCAGACTTGCATGTAGCCTGGTACATAGTTAAATTATTAAAAATTGTTGATGACGGTTTACTTATTGACCTATCAATTAGTAAGAAATGTATAAACATCTTACAATTTGATGTGGGCTTTTCAGTGTTGCCTTTCAGGTTTTATTATTTGCTTTGAAATTTTGAGACTATTTTCCAGGAGTTTTGCCTTAAGGTCTGTTTTTCTTGATGTCAGGATAGCACTACTGGCTATCCTGTACCAGCACAGTTTTACGTTTGCTTCTTCTGGAGTGTGAAGGAATTCACTGGGATCGAACTAGAGTTGTATGAAGTTCTTAACTTGTGTTTTCTGGACCACATGGGATCATGTGACTTCATACCATACAGAGGTTTTTACAGGCTTCAGGTTTCTACCTTTCACAAGACCTTCTTACTTTTCCTGCTGTAATCACCTCAGAATCTACAGCAGACAGCAAACCAGCTTCTCCAGATTGGCATGAGGAGTGCTTCATGACTCTTATTAATTAGGCAATACTTTGAAAAACCACATTTAAAAGGATAAGTGTATGTACCTGAATTTTATAGAATAAGAAAAGGACCAAGAAGGGTCTGTGAGATAGCTCAGCAGACTAAGTGCCTGCTTAGGCAAGCTCAGGAACCAGGGTTCGATCCCTGGTACCACATGCTGTACTGGCCCTGTCCCCCAGTGTGCAGAGCCAGTGACTGAGTTCAGAAGTGGTGGTGCGCACCTGTAATCCCAGTGCTGGGAGGCTGAAAACAGGAGGATCACTACAAGTCTGAACTGCATAGTGAGACCTTGTACCAAATACATTGAAGGAAGGAAGGAAGGAAGGAAGGAAGGAAGGAAGGAGAAGGAAAGAAGGAAGGAAGGAAGGAAGGAAGGAAGGAAGGAAGGAAGGAAGGAAGGAAGGGACCAAGAGATGAGATAGGGGACATAAAAACAATTAAGAAGTGTTATACATGTATACCAGCTCTCCACAGCAAATGTGGTCATTTGTGTACTGAAAATGTGCTAATAAAAATTAAAATATGTTTGAAAAAAATTTGTAGAAAAAGAAAATGATTTTTTCTCCCATTTGATATTTCTGCAGCAAACTAACCTCTTACCATGACTGCTGTACAGCGTTGGCCAACTATTCCAGATGTTACGCCTTGTTTTTGAATCTGATAAACAAATACCAGAAGAAGCAGGTCAGTTCTTGAATCTCCAGTGTCTCAGTGCCTTTGCACTGGCAGATTTGTGGAACCCAACTTTCAGTGCATAAGTTTCTGCCCTGGGAGGCAGTAAGTTGCCAGGAGGGGTTGAGAAGAAGGTAATTTGAAGCAGAAAGTATCTTAGGAAGACTATGGATTTAGGGAGAGAATGGGTAGACTGCATGAATATTGTTCCTTCCAGGGATCTGTAGACCTTGTGCATGACGGTCATCTTGGGCCAGGTGTGGGTTCCCTGTTTATTTGAGAAGGTGCCTCAATGGGCTCTGCCCTAGTGCTGTGGACTTGTGATGCAAACTAAAGTTTGAGACACCCGTCTGATGGACATACCATGAAGATTTGCTTAGCCCTTAAGATCTTTAGTTCTCTGACCCTGTTGTATTTAGAAGATGAAATTTTAGTATTCAAATAAAATAATGCAGTTTAATGGAAAAGTTTATATAGTCCTTTTAAGAACTCACAAGTGACTTCCTCTTGATGAATTTATAGTACTTAGTCCAAATATTCTTATTATTTTTGAATACCCATTAAATGTAGTTACATTTATTCACTTTATAAATGATTAAAGTGAGACATACCACACATAAGTTCAATATGTATTTATTTTATATATGGTAAATTCCCCAAATCGCAAAAATTTTCTTAGTTTAAGACCAAAAATTTAAGGCATATGCTTACTAAGAATATATTCATCGAAAACTTTGTTTATATCCGTCATGACCACCTCAAAATATCAACTCTTTAATTGTTACCAAATGCCATTCAGTTTTATTTTTATCAAAATAAGTATCTCTGAGAATGGCTAAATTTGTCACTTTATGTCAACTAGTATTTGAGTTCCGTAGAGGACTGAAATTTCTGTGCTTGTATTACATTATTATTACGTTTCTTTTTTGAGACAGGATCTCATTGAGTAGTCCAGGGTGGCCTCAAATTCACCCTGTATCCCAGGCTGACCTGAAGCTCCCAGTGACCCGCCTGCCTCAGCCTCCTGAGTGTCTCCTTGGATTATAGGCATGCGCCACTATGCTTAGCCCCATTACTATATTTTAAAGATGATAAGCCTTGTTTAAATTGTTTATAAAGTTTTATTTACTTTTAAAGACTGATTTTTAGTGATGCAGTTGAATATTTTTGCTCTAGATATTTGGGTTGCAGACACCTTCACCTAGTATTTTTCTATAAATTATATACTTTGAAAGATTTCAGGATACAAGAATTTTCCATATCAAGGAAAAAATGATTTCAATCTACCTTAAAGTGTTTATAATGTGCTGCTCACTTAAGTGTTTATTAAACATTTATTAATTTAGATTTTGGTACAGTATATCATCAGATACAGTCTTGGATAAATGATTTTACCTGCTGAAAATCTCACCCGCTGTACCACACCATCTTTTGCTCCTGCTGAAAATCTTAACTACTCGTATTCCTGATTTTCCTTTTTATGGAAAAATATTAAATGATAAAAATATAATATGGACTGAAATATTTTATTTGTTCTGCTTAATTAAAAGTTATATATTCAGTGTTTGCTTCTGCAGAAAATGTACTTGTGTATTTTATAATTTAACTTCAAGAATGCTAATTATTATTTTACAGCTTTTTTATGTATTTAGTACAGAGTCTACAGGGTCTCACTACACAGATTGGACTCATAGTGCTTCTCCGGTTTTCAGCCTCCCAAGCACTGGGATTACAGGTGTGCACCACCACACCCAGTCTCATTTACCATCTCAGCGCGCCCCAGGGGCAGGGCCAGCACAGTCTCTGCACCTGCCTAAGCAGTCACTTTAGTCCCCTGAGCCATCTGGGTGGCAATAATTATTATTTTAATTTACCACCATTATCCTTTTTGCCTTGGTGGGGGTTGTTGTTATCTGATGATTTGATTGGTTGTTTAGTTTCCTTAAGACAGGGTCTCATTATGAGCCCAGACTGGGCTCAAACTTGCCATCCTCCTGCCTCAGCCTCCCAGATGCTGGGATTACAAGCGTGCGCTATCACATCCAGCCTGCCTTGGTGGTTTGGTCTTGGATGAGTCAGATGCCTTTAACTGGAAAAGACTTCTTTGTCTTGCACCGGAATTTTCCAATGAGTGTGAAAGACAACACTGCTGCTTAGTAGTTCAATTTCAAGTTATATCCTAACCTATACTTTTTAAAAAAGAAACAAGCTTCACTGAGTACTGACAAATAGCCCTGTTAATTTATGGCAGTGCTAGTAGATGGTGTTTTGTTTGTGACTTGAGCTTAGCTGATGGGCATCTTTAATAGAAAAAAAAAAAAAAAAATGTTTGCAGTCTTGCCAGCATGAGAAATTTGAGATGTGGGTATGGTTCAGGGTGTGCTTTTTCTCAGGCAAGGGACTACATGTCCTAACATTTCATTAGCACAATTTGTTTTTGTTGTTGTTATTGTTCTTGTGATGTGGGGGATCAAACCCAGGGCCTTAGACGCGCTATATTAGCATTCTCTCCCAGAGCCTCGTCCCGAGCCTAATAGGCATAAAGCTCTACCATGCTTCTCACTAAACAGGTTTTTTACTTTAGACCAACACTTATCTATAAAGCAAAATTAGTATTTAAAAGCTGTGTCTCTGTTGATTGATACTATAATTTTGTATTCCTATTAAAATTATTTTAATTCCCAAGAACAATGACAAGCATTTTGCACACTGAACTGCATGTTATTCCTTTAATCACCAAATTTATTTTAATCATTGTAATGGAAGTCATACTCAAATCTGTTGCCTATTACATATTTCCAAGGCCATTATTTTAAGCATCAGTTATTGCCACACAGACATTATCTGTCCTGCGCTGGGAGCCTGAGCCTAGTAAGGAGCCCCTGTACACGTCTGTCTTTCTTCTGTGGGTTTTTCTCTGCCTCCTCTTTTTATTGGTTACTTTCCTCTGCCTTTGGTAATCTTTACTTACAATTATTTGCAGCTAAGAGAAGACCTTTGTAGCCAAGAAATAGTAATTTTAAAAGCTCTAAGATAACAGTTCTTAGGAAGAAGGACTTAAGGGACTCTGATAAATTTTATCTGGTGACAGCCTGTCTTTAAAAGGTAATTCATATTTCAAGGTGTAGCTCTCTGGTCCCTTTCTCTGTGAAGCCTCCTAAGACCAGTCAATTCATCCCTCATCAGTGCATGATTCGAAGATTCTTACATGGCCAGCACATCTAGCTAGTAGACCCAGAGCTGAGAATCCAACCCATGTGTCTGTGATCTTAACCTCTATGACTAAGAGAAACATCTAAAATACAGCTGTGAGATGTGTGTTGGGGGCCTGTCCTGACAATGTCATACTGAGGCTTTGCTTAATGGCCCGCCCACAGCTTCCATCTCTAGAATGTATCAGTGTTTGAATTGCTGTCTACTGTTTGATTAGAACCCAGACATCATGCCGTTACACACTACTTTGTAGATTTCCTTCTGGTAGACAGGATCACCTCAAAAGTTATGATGTCTTAACACCTTGTAGGCTACTGGCCAGGCATACATCTAACCTAAAAGTCTTATTCTAATGCTTTTTAAAATGCTGTGAATTCCCAACTCTTCAATTATTCTTGGAACCAACTTTGTCATCAGGTTGGCTGTCTCATTAATCAGACAAATACTTTTTAAATGTGTTGATTTTGTCTTTATGTGAGAGTCATATTCTTAACTTTTAAAAATTAGACCGGGCTAGCCAGGCGTGGTGGCACACACCTATGTTCCCAGCACTTAGGAGCTGGAGGGAGGAGGGAGGCTCTTCAGTTCAAGGCCAGCCTGGACTATTAGCAAGACCTTGTGCCGACAAGTCAAAGAAGGGTTGTACTTTGTACCTTCCTTTGCTTTTATTAAAGACTGAAATGTTACAGCTCTGAGCCACCGCTTTGATTTTTTTTTCTAGCAAGAAAAATATCTAATTTATATCCTCAAAACCAAAATATTTTGGAAGAACAGGGGAACAGCTCATGCTACAAGGAAGTAATTGTGTGTCCTAACTACTTCCTAAAATCATTAACCAAATAAGTCTTTGAAAAATGTTTCCTTTGTAGTTTGCCATATGGCGTCATTTGTACCGCTGTTGCCCCCATCACTGAGTGTTCCTAAGGGACACAGACCTTGTCTCAATAAACTTGGGACAGTGTTTGGCATAGCAGATACACAACAAGTGTGGAAAGAGTGGATTTTGCCCGTATGAAATGCTATGGACTCTGTAAAGTGCCATAGTTTTTCTAATACTCAAGTACTTCTTCCTCAGATATTTTCCTTCCTTTTCTACTTTCAAGGAGGAAATGATAAGAATTTTTCCATACTTTTCATATTAGTGAACTGCCTTAAACAACAGCAATACAGAAATGATAGACTTAAAATTAGTACAGACCAGCACAGCACCTTAGCTCAGGTGGCCTTCTGAATATGATTTGTTTTTCTTTGTTTCTTAGAGATAAAAATTATTTCCAGAAAGCCCACACCATGTTCTGATACATGTTTACCAATCTATAATGGTTAAAGTTTGCTACATCTGAGATTTGCTTAGATGCCAAAGTTTACAGCTGATCTTTGAAATGTAACGCGGTATTCCAGTAATCTAAAATTACTACTTCCTCTATTTTTGTTTTAGCTCTAGGAAATGTTTCTGCAAGACTAACTTGGGTTGTGGAAATACACTTTGGAAGCTTTGTAGTCTGTTAGTGTACACAACTCTGACCAAATGATCACACAGTCAGAAAGGGTCTGCACACCTTATCTTTGTTCTAAGAGGTTAGGGCGCCCCTATTTTAAAAAAGCCTGAGGCAAAGCTGGGCAAGATAATTCATGCCAGTAATCCCAGCACTCAGAAGGCTCATCCCAAGTTCAAGGCCAGCCTGGCTCCATAATGAGGGTCAAGGCCAACCTGAACTACACAGCAAGACCTTCTCTCAAAAACCAAAACAAACAAACAAACAAACAACAAAAACAAAACAAAAAACCTGAGGGCCACA